ACAGGAACAGTTTTCTTATCTTAGTATTAAAATTTGTTTTCAAAGTGGTATAATTTGAAAGATTACAGTCCAAAAGTAATTTCCAAATAATATCAATTTTAGGAGAACTTTTGAGCTGCGATGCTTGAAGGAGAAATTAAGATTAGTTTTCTTTGACCAGAGTTTCTAATTTATATATATTTTTCTCCAAGTGTCATTCCCCCCCCCACTCCCCAGGTAACATACCACATACTCAGAACACAATTCTTAAATTTGTTTCTTAAAAATACAAGAATGGGCAAAGTTAAGGTACATTAATTATAGAAAAAAGTGAAGGAAGGTAGTGCATTTAGTGTCACATATGAACTTAAGGCCTTAGTTACTCGATTGTAATTTCAGTATTAGCAACAGTGTACTTCCCTCATGCTTACATACACAAGTAAGCAGGTAGACAAAGCAAAAAATTCTAAACATGTAAGGAATGAAGACAAACAATTTAATCTATATATTATCAGTCAATTAATACAGTTGGACTCTTTCAAAGTATAAGTGCTGGTAGTAAAATAATCTGATCACATGTCATACAGCAATTAAAATGAACAGAAAACAGCATCTCCTATACAATCAGAGCATCTCCTGATACACAAAGCAGTTAAGAAGCCTACATATACTTTTGAAGATTCTGAAGATGCTACCCAGACAATAATCTATCTCAAAACCAACCATTGCATAATGCATTTTGTAAAATGCCTACCTAAAAATACATTGTATTTTGCAATATTTATCATCAGTGTGGGAGGCATTTCTAGCCTAAACACTAAAACCGAATGTATACATGAGACTATTCAGCAGTAGCCTATAAATAGTCTTATGATAGGAAATTTCACACACACTTATTAAATAGCATCTTATGTTGTTTCAGTCATCTGTCAAATTAAGACAAATTTTTACAAAGTTACCAGAAAAGACACTGAGCTACAGTCAAGAGACCAAATTTCTAGTTCCAGCTCTGCCTCTACCTACCTATGAGACACGGGGAAAGTTCTCTTAACCCTCACAAGGCCTCAGGTTCCTCAACTATAAAACAAAGGGGTAGAACAAAATGGATTCTAAGAAGCAGTCCCATAAAACGGGATTTTGCTAAATTTTTAAGAACTTAAATTTTCTTTAAAGGTAGCTATAAAATATCAAGCTTGATACTTATCACCAATAACGATTATGTAGACAGAGCTTTAAGCCAAGGAATTACTGATTCTGCATTTGTGGGATGAAAATATAAGAATTTTTTAGCATGCTTTTCCAGTTATCAGAAAAGGGGGGTGGGGATTTTATAAGGACAGTAAAGCATACAGCAATGGAAGTACTTCCTGCAGTAGCATGCTAGTAATGGATAGGCATTACTTGTGCTGGTTTTTAGTAACTTTTGCACACGAGCAAGAGGTTTTACAAAAAATATCAGAGCGCACAATAACACATGTTGATTTGACAAATTCAAAACACAGTTGAAATGAAAAGGCAACAAAAATACTTTAGAACATTTCACTCTTTTATAAAATGTGTACACAGACCTGGGCCTAACATACTTGACTGCACCACATCAAGTCCCAAAATCCAATTTCCCTTTCAGGTATAGAGTACATCTTTAACAAAACCGCCAACATCTACTTTTAAGAATCAAAATTCACTTGTATTAGATTGTACACAGTTGACAACTGTATCTATTTTCTCTGGTTCCAAAATTTCCTATCCTAGTGTGAATAAAATAAATGAAGACCTAAGACTAAGTGCAGGAAAGTATCAGACCCTGTAATGCATATTTATACTGAAAATGTGTTTCACAGGGTTAACAGATAGATTTGCAAAAGATAAAGTCATTTTTCAAAAATTCCCAAGGCTTGCTCAGTAATACCAAATTTCCACAATGGAAATATGGGTGTCAAATTGGGCAGGAAAAAACATCTAATTTTAATTATTATTGTGAAATGTTACAAAGTAGTAACAATTACTGGGCTGGTTAAGTACTTTATAATCAAGGAGAGTTAAGTCTTCCTTGAGAAGATACAAAAAGAACCTGATAAGAATGGGGTAAACTGGATGCAATACAGCCACATCATACACATAAGCTCATTGAAATGACAGCATTTCTATTCTTATAGCATTTGCTTATTTTCTATTGTCTTGAAAACAAACTGATTTATAATCTTCCGAAATACCAAAAGTGGCTTAAATTTAATCAATTTCTTTCCTTAATAGAATGAGAACTTTTAATTGCAAATACTGTAATATCCTAATGGCTTCAATGTGAGAGAAAATGATCCATTATAAATTTCAAATCACCACACAGTGGACTCCCTGATACCCCCTCTAATGACACGACAGACACAGACAAGCTACCGAGCAAGAATCTGTTAACAGTTTTATTTTTTTTATGTTAAATACCATGGGACAGGATTGTAAGGATGAAAAACTCAGTCAACAACTGCCTCACAAGGGATAAGAAAAATTCTGCCATGATATTAGCAAAGGTAAAGGAGAAAATTTACACTGTAAGAGGCACCATTTCCCCACAGAATACCTCTTGGCATTTCCTGAATGAGTGGGATTAGCAATCTAAATAAATCATATTTCAAGAGGTAACAGCAACAGATAAAATTTAAAGGGATTATTAAAATAACATTTACAAGACTCTGAACAATTCTTGAACTCTTATTAAAACCACAAAGAACAATTCTTTATTTATGAATTTCATAAAGGACTGAATGTGCAACTGACATCTGCTAGTGATGATCTGGTAATATACAATTTGTCCAGTAGCCGAACAGTTTGTTTTTATTGTGTTTTCTAACCGTGAGAGATCATTAAAGGCAAAGCCTATATGACGCTGTACACACAAAAAAATGGTCACCGCGGGCCATACTACCAATGAAATGGTAGGTAAACAAATCTTTTTCTGGTCAAGAGAAAAAAAAAAAGAAATAGCACTCTGCATGCTTCACTCTACAAGATGAATTTCCCTAGAAAGAATCCAATGAAAATGGCTGCAATTACAACAAGAAGTGAAGGAAGAGGGCTGGTGACATTATCTCTGAAGGATGCAGCTGAGGTTGATCCAGGTTTATCCGAATGTGCTACCTTTCTGAGCCTTAAACCTTCATCCTAGAAAAAAAAACACGCGCAAAATGAGGTTTTAAAAAACAAATAAGCACACAATGAGACTTCTGGAGCTAAAAATCTAGAGAGACAAAAAGCAGATCAGTGGTTGCCTATGGCTGGGGACAGGAACAGGGATTAACTACTAACCACACAAGGAAACTTTCTCGGGTGATAACACTCTAAAACTGGACTGTAGTGATGTCTGCATAATTCTATAACTTTGCTAAAAATCACTGAATTGTACATTCACAATGGGTGTCTCCATGAGATGTAAATTATACCCCAATAACTGATTTTAAAGCTGGAGCTGAGAAATATATTCCTAAAAAACAGAAATCAGATATGGCTATATTTACATAGAAGGAAAAAATCCCACTAAAATTAACACAATTAAAGGGTTCTGTGCAGATGCTTACTTCCAAGGTGGCCCACAGTATTTAAAGTTGGTTATATCTCTCCTAGCCCAATATGTCAGAGACTACCAGGAACCAACCTACACTGTGCCAGTTAGGCTTTCTGGCTCATTGCAACTAGGGAAGACACACCAGCAGAGAGAGGCGTCTTGCTGAAGGAAGGAGATAGAGTATTACAGAATACGAGAAAAGGAGAAAGTTGAGGGTATAATTTAAATAACGCAGTGTTTTGATATGCTCAAAGCAAAAAAGGTTGTGTTTAAAAGCGTCCACATCCGGTCTAGACTGCAAAGTGGACACAGAATACTGCTTGTTCAGAGACTTCAAACTGAGACACATGAGGAATACTGTATTCAGGGACCTCTTATCTGAAGCTGCACCTGCACTGGAACCTGAGGCTGCTTCTCTGTATCGAAGTGACTCCAGGCAAGAGTAGGCTGCTACCTTCTGACTGCTATGGTTTGACACAGCAAAGTTTCTCAACAGTCTGTTTTTAGGATACAAGGTTTCTCATAAGAAAGCAGCAATCACTCAAGGCAGGAGATTGTTACGACACTGCGTGCAGTATGACCTTGGAATAATACTGATGCCTGTTAACTACGCAGCTGGCTTTATCCGTGTCTGTTACACAACCTGATGAATAGCAGGGCAGATTTTTACTTCCTCAGTGCAAGCTCATTTTTATTTTTTCACATGATTCCTCCACTGTGCTTATAAATAAAAGAGGACAACTGATGGCACAGTTTCATTTGCATTATTGGATTTTCTGCAGTTGGGGTTTTTGGGTCTCATGTTAAACAGTCCTGTGTAAAGAGAACACTGATCCTCAGTTCCAGCTATACATCACAAATACCTGAAGAACTTTAAAAGTACTCCCAGTGATTCTGATTCACTAGGTCTGGGGAGGGCCTGGTCATCTGTATTTTTAAAAAGCTCATGAGGTGATTCAGATGTACAGTCTGGATTAAGAACCACCGGCCAAAGGACTTAAAAAGGGGTAGTGATCGGACATGAGCAAGAAAGTTAATCTGGCAACAAATCAATAATGTGCCTGAGATTAATTTTGTAAATCAGTGGCTTTAAGGTCCTTTTGTCTTATTTTTTAAACAGATAAAATAAAATAATAATAAAATAAAAATGAGCTTGCACTGAGGAAGTAAAAATCTGTCCTGCTATTCATCAGGTTGTGTAACAGACACAGATAAAGCCAGCTGCATAGTTAACAGGCATCAGTATTTTTCCAAGGTCATACTGCACACAGAATCATCTTTCAAATAAAATCTCACGTTATAAAACATCAGCATATAAAGAGTAGAGACCAGGAATAAAGTCTGACTCACCTGCTTCCCTGTTCACTCTTCCTATTTTTCAGCCCTGCCCCACCTATGTCATTCCCATAATTTCCACTTCTCCCCTCCTTGCCAAGAGATAAACAGTAGCTTTTTTAATAAATCAGCTGAGCATCCTAAGGAGTATATCTTTCACCAAAGAACTGTGGAAGTCATGGCAGATAAAAGCAACAAAGAACAGCAACCTAAAAACTTTATGCTGCCTGAGTGTGTAATAAAGATATTCTTTCCACTGCCCAGACAGGTGCTGAAGGCAGGGTCCCCTCAAGGGGCTACTATGGAATATGAAGAGACAGGTACAAAAATTCAGTTCGAAGTGTTTCAGTGAATAGGAGTTCACAGATCAACTTGACATATAGTGCCTTTGATTCAGAATGTAGTTCCTACATACACTTAACAGAAGGAATAATCAAATGTAGATTAATGCCCATATTTAGCTTAAGTTACATTTTTGTATCATCTATTATGTGAAAAAACTTCCTATAAAGCAATTTATAGGTATTCAGGTCTTGAAATAAGTAATTACTTGTCAAAGGCAAATTATTCGTAAACTCCACACATATTCAAATCAGTCCTCCCTCCCCAGTCCATTAATTCAATCAAATATAGAAATGACCACTATATATACATGCAGTGAATGCAAACATAAATGAAACAGTCCTTGCCCCCAAGGCAATTACTGCCCACTAGGGGGAGAAAGACGTCTGACAAATAAGAGCAGTAAGATGAAATCAGTATAGTGGAAACACAAAGGAAACAATAATTCAAAACAATTTTTCTTTTCTGTTTGAGGAAAGAGGGTCCAAGAAAAGAGTACAAGAACTGAGTACCAAAAGGTGAATGTCTGTGTATATATGTATGTGCTGTGTGAGCAGAAACAGGATTTCAGGGCATTCTAGGAACAGGGAAGAGCTTCCACTACAGCAAGAGTGGTGGTAGTAAGAGAGGCATCGCTAGGATACTCGAGCCCAGCGCTATCCAACACAAATACAATGTGAGCCACATATGCTAATTTTCTAATAGCATATTATAAAAAGGTAAAAAGAATTGGTAAAACTAATTTTAATAATATACTTTATTTAACTCAATGTATCGAAAATATTATTTTAATATATAACAATAAAGATTTTACCTTTTGTTGTACTAGACATCAGCATCGGTCTGTATTTTACACTCATAGCACATCTCAATCTCAACAAACCACATTTCAAGTGCTCAACGGCCCCAGATGACTAGTGGCTATGGCATGGGACAGTTCAGTATGACTGGGGCACAGAATGCAGGACACTAGAAACAAGAGGAAGCTAGCAATGCCACAGGCCAGATCACAAATAACTAGGACGCCTGCCAAGGAAAGAAACTTGCAGGCAATGAAAAGCCATAGCAAGATTATTATAAGAGGGTGGCATTGTGGAGAAAAGGCCAGGACATAATCAAATCGGGGGAAAAGAAAAAGAATGGACCAGGGATACATTTTAAAACTGATCACTAAAATGGCCTAATAATACATTTCCTATACCTTCATTTCAATCAACTTATTTTCGACCAACAGAACTTACTCTCAGGTGTCGATTTTCTTCTGATAGCTTCATCATTTCTCCCTGTAGTCTTTTACACTCTTCCATTAGTTTCCTTGTTTCAGTATCATTGAGTGAAACACTGTGCGGTTTTGGCATGGGTCCATCTTGTTTAGATGCATTCAGCGGAACAGCTTTGCTAGGTTCCATATCATTCTGTATTACAAAGATATTGGGAATTTTTAAACAAACCAAGTGTCCTTACAGGTTTTAAACAAACAAAAATGTAGATTCTACATCTTTCTTTTCAAAAAAATTCTTTAAATGAAAAGTTTTAACTATTTTCAATTTCATTAATAAGGATTTTTTAAAAAATACCAAATGCTATGGTAATCTGTGAACTAATTTTTAAAGGACTAAATCAATAAATGTCACAGCAGTTAAGTCAAAATAAAATAAGCAACCCACTCCCTCCTCTACTCCCGTAACCCCTGACACTTACCTCTACCATAGAACTTATCATGTATCATAATAATGTATTTTTGAAGTTCTTTCCTATCATACTTCAAAGGCTGGGAAAGCAAGAGCCATTTCTCTTTGTATTTACCCCTAAACCCAGCACTTTGGTCAAGAGTAGTTACTCAATGAAAGTACGCTGAATGACTGACGCCAACCAAAATCCAAACATGAAGGTCATTTTTAGTGCTCTGATTCTGCAATTCAAATAAGGTTCTGGGGGGCAGGGGGATATTATCGTAATCATTCCAATGAAATCAGGAACTAGCTAAGAGAAACTTTGAAAAGAAAATCTAACTTCTGTTAATGGGAAAAAATAATATAAATATTGAAAGGGAGATAATAAATGCATCATTACAAAAAAAAAGAGGGAACATAAATGATTCCTTCAAAGTTTATGATCAAACATAAGTGATTCTTTCAAATCATTAGTAACACTGTTTGCTTTCATTCATGTGATTCAGCATCAAGACAGTACTTAAGACACTTTTAAGACTATGAGCCCCAAGATCTTAATTCTTACCAACACTTAACCATTTGAAACTAGTGGTAAAGCCCTGAAGGTAAACCTATGGCAGTACTCAAGTATTTCTGAGCCTATGGTCTCAAGTGCCCCAACACCCTTTATGCTACCATCATTTATGATCACATACCAGTATTAGTGCAGTGAGTCTTCTTTTTCATTTTAATTAAATTCTTGTTAAAAAAATTTTTAGATGAAGACAAACCTTCTTTATTCAAATATAAACTGCTGACAAAGACATTACAAAATCAACATTATGGCATTCCACAATACTCAGATTTATTAGAGGCTGCACACCTGACCACCATTCTCAGCTGCCAAATTTATATTAGCAGTTTATTCAAAGGGCAAAACCAGTATTTCTTATGAAGGGGATATAATTTGATCAATATGCCTAAATCAATGTAAAAACTGACTAATCCATTAAAAATTAAAAGCTATAATGAGGTTCTAATGTACAACACTATGTATTTGACCTGTCAGCAGATTTTTCCATTTTTCTTCAGGCTTCACAGTTGAGAAAGGTTTTGAAGAAGCCTACTTCAATTCCTATGAGTTTTTCTTTTTCTAGCTATCTTGCTCTTCACCCTAATCTCTCCCACCACCACCCAATTCCACCTGTATTATTAAAAATATGTTTCAGATACATTTTGCTCTCTACCAGTATTCTTTCCTGTTCTTTTCCTTAAACTAATCACAACTAATTTCGAAATAATTTTCCAAGTGTGCTCAAATTCCATCCTAGCACAAGTCCAACCTCCAATAATGAGGGTGGCCTGCTACCTTCCTCTGTAAAGGAGGAGGCAATGGTCAACAATATGGCAAATGAAGAATGTTTAGGTTTTGGTTAAGAATTGGGAAAAAATACTATACTCATACCAGAAAGATGACTAAAAAACTAAGAGAATACACATGAGGCCAACAGTGAAGAGAAAAAATTAAAATATCATCAAGCTCTTCACAACTGGATTTTTATTTTAAATAAATTCTTGAAATTCCAGAACATTTAAAACCATGAGGGGAGGAGAGAAAATCATCTCCCACCATCTCATCAACCCAACTACTATTTTATATTATCTTCCAATATTTTTCATATACACATTTTATAAAATCAGCATACATATTTACCTTGCTTTATTCATTTATGTGCATGTCTTTTATCTTTTTAAATGACACAATATGTTGTTAAATATTCTATTCTGTGCCTTACCAAAATTAAACATTTCACATTTATTAAATAATTGATGGGTAACTTCCCATTCTTTCAAATTTTAAAAAATACATCAACGAATATCTTATGGTGGTAGAATTAGATTTTTCTTTTTCATTGAAATGTTTCTTAATGTTATATTGCTTTTATAACAAAAAGTAGAAGGTATATCATAACCAATTTGTGGAGCATAAATATAAGACTAGAAATGCAAAGAACATAGCGAAGCTTAAACACACTTCAAAAGTGAACCAAATAAGTCATGAAACAAGTTAAACAGAATACAGCTGGACTGTACACTCTATTAAGGCCCACTACAAACCAGTCAACACACGCAGCAGATGCAAAAAAATCTAATTTATTTATGTATATTTAAAGTATAAGCATATATAACCTAACTTAGTTGGGAGTTAAAAAACATGAGAAGGGGGAAGGTGAGTCATCCCTGTAGTGACAATCTAAAGAGCCTGATGGAAAACACTAAGCAAGTGTGACTTTAAGTATATGCTTCCATTCAGGAGTTCCATTAGTGAAATCTGACTCCAGGAAAACAGCTTATTTCTTGAGGGTTGCTTCAGACTGGTCCAGAAAGAGAAGACTGGTTGTTCTGAGAACCATGAAACAAGCAAACTAGAGGGATTCAACATGCTGTGATTCTTAGTAAACTGATGAACAGTAACATTACATTAACATATTTAACACCGCAACTCAGAATAAACTGAAAGGTCAAGGCTATGTATCAATTAAAACAAGACATTATACCGTATCTTGTACAATTTCCACTATTTTATATTATCTTCCAATATTTTTCATATACACATTTTATAAAATCAGCATACATATTTACCTTGCTTTATTCATTTATGTGCATGTCTT